CAATATCACAGCAAAATGTTTATTATAATTTCATATTTCTTATTTAAAAATCAAAACATAACAAAACAACAAGGGGCGTCCGTGGCCGAGTGGTTAAGGTCGCTGACTTCAAACCACTTGCCCCTCACCGCTGTGGGTTCGAATCCCGACAGGGACTTTGGATTCTTTCATGTGAGGAAGCTATCCAGCTAGCTTACGGAACGTCGGTGGTTCTACTCAGGTGCCCGTTCGTGCCTGAAATAATGCACGGAAGGGCACCTGAGGTCTTCCTCCACCAGTAAAGCTGGAACGTCGCGATATGACCTATACTGTGTCGATGTGACGTAAACCCAAAACAAACAAACAAACAAAACAACAACCTTTATTTCTGACTCGTAACGACTTTGAAAGTAGGTCATTCTGTCAGTTTTACAACAGAATAAGATTGTCTACAGGAAAATAGTTCGACATAAAATTTTGATTGCTTAAAATGTGTGCAACTCAGAGTTAATGACAGTTTTTGTCTTGTTTTTTGTTTTACATTTAGATTGTATGCATACTGTACTGCTTTAAGATCATTATGCGTACTACGATGTTAGGAATATCTAGTAGAAATATAGTAGACGATAATGCAATAAATTGTTCACTGCAAACATTGTATAATATTTCAATCCCATTAATTATCGTTATTGCAATACATGCTCAAAGCTAAATTACTTTGAGCCTCGCATTAAACAACCTAAGCCAATGTGGTTTTACGCTCGATACACATTTTTCTGCATGCGGTCAAAAGTAAATATTTATGCAAAAGAAAAAAATGTAAAGCTTGTCATGTAAACTCGTGAAATATTTTTTTTGAATTTAACTGTTGTTGCGCATTGTCACAAATGTTGCATAATTTAACATAATTATAGCAAGATTTTTTTTTATCTTAACCCAATGCAAAACTTTCATTCAAATAGAGAATAAGAGAATCATTATACATTATTTTCCGCCGTGGCCTCAAGAGAATAAGTTTATTTTGCGATGAATTTCCAGATATTTATACAGCGACAGTTTTCTCTTTTAAATTTGCAAAGTTATCGGTATATTGCATCAAATATAATGCAGCTTGCTATGATAATTGTGTCAGACTATGACTAAGAACTTCACACACTGTCTTCTCATTCGAATTACCATATACTATACCAATACAAACTTTGAACTTTTAGTAATTTAGCCAGCTGTTGCATGGAAAAAAATAAATAAATGAAAAATATCAAGTTTAATTATCATCGTCCGATGCTTAGTTTGACAATCCAAAAACTTCAATTTCAACGTGAACAACCTCTCGATTTAGACTTTACATAAGTGCAAATACAAGTTTAAACAGTTTATTTTTATGATTTGATGTGACTTATAATATATTATCCATATTCAATTTGATAATTAATTAATATGAAATGTGATCATCTAGATGACTATATAATGAGGAATTAATACGACTTATTTCTACCCGGAAACTTAAATCGATGTTATATGGGGTGTGATATGAATTTGATATAAATATATTGACCCTGAGTCGTTTTTATTTCAGGGTCAAGATATCTATCGTACCCAATGTACGATAGATATCTTGACCCTGAATATAACAAGAGCTGTCACAGGAGACAGCCAAGCTCGACTAATAAAATACTGGACGCAGTAAGGAGGACAAAACTATGAAAGAAAAATCAATTATGTATAATTATGTATTAAGTTATAGTAAAAAAATAACATTTGTTAAAATAAATTCCAAGATCAAGGGGAATAATTCTAGAAATAGTCACGCTAGAGTTATGAAACTTGTCACACAACATGTATGTAATGATAAGAAGTATATATTTGAAGTTTGAAGTAGATACCTTAAAAAGTAACAAAGTTATAATATTTCATAAAGAAAATCCTAAGTTCAAAGAGAGATAAATCTGTAAAAATTACGCCAAGAGTTATGAACATTGTCACATAAAATATAATTGATTATATGGAATAAGTATTTGAAGTTTGAGGTAGATACCTTTAAAACTAAAAAAGTTATAGTAAAAAATAACATTTTTCTAGTAAAAAAATCTTAGTTGATGGGGAGATAATTCTTGCAATATTGGTGCTAGAGTTATGAACCTTGTCACATAAGATATGGATGATGATAAGGTACATTTATTTGAAGTATGAAAGTGATCCCTTTAGAAAAAAATAAGTTACAGTAAAAAATAATATTTTTTAAAGAAAATTCTAAGTTCAAGGGGAGATAAATCTGAAAATATTGGTGCTAAAGTTATGAACCTTGTCACATAAGATGGGGATGATGATAAGGTACATATATTTGAAGAATGAGGTTGATCCCTTAAGATATAAAGAAGTAACAGTAAAAAATAGTATTTTTTAAGGAAAATTCTAAGTTCAAGGGGAGATAAATCTGAAAATATTGGTGCTAGAGTTATGAACCTTGTCACATAAGATGGGGATGATGATAAGGTACATATATTTGAAGTATGAGGTTGATCCCTTAAGAAATAAAGAAGAAACAGTAAAAAATAGTATTTTTTAAGCAAAATTCTAAGTTGAAGGGGAGATAAATCTAAAAATATTGGTGCTAGAGTTATGAACCTTGTCACATAAGATGTGGTTGATGATAAGGAACATATATTTGTAGTTTGAAGTTGATACCTTAAGAAATGACAAAGTTATAGTGAAAAATATTTTACCGCACCAAAACTTTAATCTAAAATCTGGACGCGGACGCGGACGCCGACGCCGACGCCGGGGCGAGTAGGACAGCTCTCCATATACTTCGTATAGTCGGGCTAAAAACGAGGCTAAACGGGGTACGATATGCATTTAATATCAATATTTTGACCCTGAATTTATAAACGAGGCTATTTCAGGTACTATTTGGATTTGATATTGAATTTTTGATTCTGGAACGTGAAACGAGGCTAATTTGATAAGATTAGATGCAATAATGAATTTTAATGGAGCATTGCGTGGTCCGAATTTGTCATATTGTATAAGGTGTAAAATAATAGACATGTGTCATCATAGCCTCTCATTTATTCACATCATTAATAATTGTCATTTTGCCAGATAATTGTTTAATTATGTAACGTTTGAATTAGTTACTTTATTTAAAAACTCCACAAGTCACTGGGCACCAACTGGTCGTACGGAAGAATTTGTTGATACACAAGTAGCAACAGAACTATAGTAAAACACACTTAGCTAGGTTTAAACATATTTATTCAACATAATTTACATTTTACATGTAAACGATATTAACATGATACATTTTTGGGATGGGACAGAAAGTATCCTTCCCACAACACAAACATTAATTAAGTCTATAATATAGAGAATTCGACATTTAGGAATTTAGACGTATCAAACAACAATATGCAAGCTTGCTTTTACAAAAAAAGGAGACAAAAATAAGTTCAGAACCGGCTTAGTGTAGGTCCGTTAAAATAAATCATGAAATGCTGACACAGCAACACAAACACTAGTAACAAAAATATTTATGTGTCGGTTCATTGTAATCAATAATAATTTGTACATGCATGTAAATACAATAAAAATCAGACAAGATATCTAAATATTTGAATCAGCGATTCCTTTTATCGTCAAGACTCGGTGCCATTATTTTATGATCATTTTTTAGAATTTGCTATATACTTATGCTATGTTTGGTTAAGGAATCATGCACTGTCGCCGATTGTTGTTCCGTTCTTTATTTCATATTTTTTATATGTAACAGTGTAAGAAAATACTTAACTATCTTCAGTTGATCTTCAAGTTGAAATGTGGAAATATGTTAGTATATTTCAATGTATTGAATTTCTGATTAATAAGAAATTTGAAATATTTGCCAAGTAGTTTATATCAAATGAAATATTATAACAATTACACAGTTTTATATTGAATTATTCATAAAAATGGAATACTGCTAAAATGTTTGTAATCATTTGAAAAACAAAGTTTTTGTTTTGATTATAATCGATCTTCCTGTTTGCTTTTCCCATAGTAATAAATGTAACCATCCTTTGACTCGACGTAGGACCCATCATTGTACACTGATCTGAAAAAGTAAAATAAATAAACAAATGAAATAATTTGATCAATAAATAGATAAATAATTTTATCACTAAATAAAAAAGCAAACAAACACGTAGTTAACGAATAATCGCTAGTAAGACATTCAAATCTATAATTTTGATTTTTCTTGTGTCGCAGGGTCATATTGATGTGTTAATGTTCTATGTTGTTTGTCAATCTATGTCCCGTATTGTGCACCGTAGATTATGTTATTTACATGTCCATGTCATGTATGTCGTATTTGATACTGTACATATCTTGTAAAGTCCTATATTTGTGTCCTTTTCCTATATTCCATCCATTCAGCCTTTTATTCATTTACTCATTCGGTCGTTTCTTCATTCATTCATTTATTAACAAGTATGTACTAACCATTGGTACGGGCCTCAATTCTAAATATTCTATTTCCGCACTAAGTACCTTCACGCATGCGCACTCCTACTGAAGATTTTCATGGCGCGAGCCAGACTTCAAATTCATTCATAATAAATATTTTCTGAGAGCGTATTTCTGTATTTTTATAGCAACCCTCAAGCCCAGAACCTCTTAGCAGCACCTTTCCCATATCGTTAGAGTGGACTGCGACACTTGCTTCGATCTTTACGATCAAAAGTGGTATATTCTTTTTACACATTAACCAAAAATCATTTTATCTTTGTTAATATTAAAATTAACGTGTTGTAGTTTCAAGAACGTTATAAATGGCAAAGAACGCATATTTTTATTAAAAAGTACTCGTATCATTTTCTATTATGCTAAGTTACAAACCAAGATAGTAACATCTTAAACATTGTCAAAGCTTGCTTACAAGAAAAGATTGTGCTTTATATTTCCTTTAGCACTAGAGAAAAGTTAAAATAAAGCTGAAACTGAGAAAAAAATTTAACTTTTTATAAAATAAAAAACAACCTGAAAAAACTATATCCTCTCTTTTCATTTACATGTCCTATATTTTTTTGCTAAAAATAATTAAAAATCTGGATGAAATGTGATCCCTCGGAAGCATTAATCACAACAAAGTTACATGAAAATTGCAGACTCGGTTTGATTGAGTCTGTACATGTGTGATAATGGAAAGTGCAACGTCCCTCACGCCCCCTAATACTTACCCGGTGCCAAGAGTCATATCATCGACTGCTGAATCTTTTGACTGGCCCTTGTAAGCCCTATTTTCATGACCCTGTTTCTTTCCGCGATCATCACTTGATAAGGAATCAAGAGGTAATCCATCGTACTCGTTTTGGACAGTTGCTTGTCTGCGATTTTTCAACCCCTTCTTGTTTTTCTTTCTTTTACAACATAGGACCGTGATCAGTGCAAAGATGACAATAACAAGGACTCCACCAACAGTAGACGAGATTATGATGATCATATTTGTGTTACCTGTTGTAACAAAGGTTATACATTAAAATTAGTCTATTGTATTTTCCTATGCGGATATGTTAGATTTATTTATATAAATGATTAAACAATTTTTAAAACATATTCAAATGTTTAAGTTTAAAAGATGCCGATCTTCTGACTTGAAAAGAAAACACAACAACAAAACAACGACAACTAATAACAGAAATAAAACAAAAAGAAAGGAAAAAAAACAGTGATTATATTCCATTGGACTATACAGGGAAAAAATAGTTCAAAGATATGCAAACATGTGGTTGCGCATTTGCATATGACATAATTTGCTATATAAAAGTTTATTTCATGCAAAATATACCACTTCGTTTACCCTTGAAGATTTCTCTTCCATGGCTTATATACATTATAATATAATTTACTTGATTTATTGATTACAAAATCATATTTCTTTCGTTTACCTTCAACTCCGTCTTGTGAAACTTTCCTGCAAAAGAAGAAAATATTGAAATTATTGTTTTGCAGGTGAAATTAAAAATTCTTAGAATTAAATAATATAGACAACTTTAAATTTATATATTTCAAAAAATGCAATTGTAACCGAAAATCACTTTCGCAAGATACTACAAAAACAACGGAAGAAAAAGACTTATTCTTGCTTATATAATTCAATATAATCACTTAGCAGTTATAGGCATGCAAATCACCACTCAATTCTAACATACATGTACATATGGTATAAAGCATTTTTATTTATTTTTGGTAATATTATCGTTTTTACAAAGACAAGATTTATACATACTTGCAAGTTGCAGCGTCTTTCTCTACTATGCATTCTTCATTATTCAGACATGGGTGCAGTTGTGTATAACTTTCACAAAGGAGAAACTTATGAAAATGGTCAGATTCCACCCCAACTGAAACAACGAATCTTTCAACTTAATCGGCATTCATTTTAACATATAGCAAATTTAAAATACAGTTTCTGCAATGCATATAAAAAGTTGTTGTATTCAATTAATAAATATCAATCTATTTTTAGACTTAAGTTGTTGACTTTGAATACTTGCCTCTCATGGTAGTTAAAATCTCACCAAGGCAATGGTTATGCAAAGTCAAAATTTCTTATGTAAAATCTGAAATCCTATCATGGTACTGGCTCGTATTTGAAAGTTAAATTAACTCAGTCACCATGTCGACAAATGCCAATGACAGTATCAGTTTGAAAATCAATTTTTATATATAAAAAATATACATAATTTCGACCTTACGAAAATTATACTTCTAAAACGATCAATACAAAACTATAAATGGCGAAACAATTCATCTCATTAAGACATTACTATATACTTACCTTTACTGTCTTCTATCTTGACATTTTCAACACTGTAGTAATTACCAAACAGTTGAATTGGTTTTCCTTTTGACAGACCAGCAAGCGCAACCGACAATGCCTTTATGACAAATTCATTGGTCTTGACAATCACAACATGTTTAACAATAAGGCTACCTTTCCTAAAACATATCCATAAAAATTTAATGTGAAGCACGGAACCGCATCAAAAATCATCTTTTTTATAAGAAATATTTTATAAGAATGTCCAGATTACACACTTCTATTTTTCATCAATATTTAAAATACTTGTGGAAAATGCGCCCATTGTAGATCAGGTATATAAAAAAAAATAATATACGATAGTCATACTTACTGAAGCGAAAGGATAACAACGTCCTTTAGTCCAATGCCAAGTGTTTCTTTGTAATAGTGTTTGAGCTGAAACAGACACACCTTGCAAATTGAATAAATCATTGATTATAAAGCTGAGAATGAATTGTTTTAAGATTCAATATAACATTATCAAGATCAAATGAGCACATAAGCAGGTTCCAGCATAAATTATTTCGTTTTATCTAAACATTTCCTTACTAGAACTGATTGTTGACGACTTTGTTCTGAAGAAAGAATGAATTCTTGTTAGATTCCATTATGCATTGCCTTACAAAAGCCAAAATCAAAATATCTTCTCAGCATAAATTAGCAAGATACTAGTAATTTGATTTTGGAAAATAACACACGTTTGTTGTTGGTTGTTAAATACACATGTTATGGTCACACAAAGGGTGACTAAGAGCAAAACTCAAAATCAAAATATTTTCTCAGCATGAATTAGCAAGATACTAGTAATTTGATTTTGGAATATTACACACGTTTATTTGTAATCCAGCGTTCTTTTTGCTTCTTATAAATTCAACTTATTGTAGAAGCGAAAGTTATGACCCGAGGCAAATATTCATCAAAATTGAACCAACAAAAGGTTAAGCATGTTACTGTTTGAAGATTTTAATAAGTGCAAATGATTCTAAAGACTAAAATCAATACGCGTAGGAGTCAGATCTCAACACTTTTTATAACAAGGTGGAGGGTAAAAAAGCTGATTAACAATATTCGGATACAGTGGTAGGATCAGTTTTAATCTACTCGTATTAAACAGCCCGTATAAATGGAATATTGTTTTACTTTCTAAATGAAACACAGCTCAATGTGTTTCATACCTTGTAGATATCAACATGTTTATAATTAATAAAGAGAGGTAACTTCTAAAGTTCAACAACGTAATGCCGTATGTGAAGAGTTGAGTTTGACATTTGTATAGGTTTGTTATAGTATAGTTCTTAAAGATGATATTTTTACTGTCACCCACACACTTAGGTGTTATTTATATAATTATTATCATTTATACTAGCCATTTGAAGAAGTTAATTTACATTGCTCTGAGTTTTGCCCTTAAGATTTTTACAATGACAAACTGCTCGCTTTAGGAATATTGCACGGAAAAATAAATAAGATTCAAGTGGGTTTTAACCTCTTTTTCTCAATGAATGATATAACGCATAGACATAAAAAATATTTTACGAGTTTCAAGTAACACTTTTTTGCTTCGAGTCTGTCATGCTTAAATAAAAAAATACTTACTGCAATCTTGGTCTCATTCCAGACTGTTTGCGAGTTGAGATTATGGGCACTATCAAGAATAATGTCGATTGTAAGTTCTAACTTGTATGACTTGAGTCCTGGCTCTGATTTTTCTAAATAAAAGATAGAAGTATTGAGATGCAGAAAAAGAACAATTGTTATCGAAACTTGTAGAATGTTTCAATCTTATTTATAAGATCTAGAAAAATGTAATAAGAATGAATCTAATTAATAAAATATACATGCTATAAAGATATTTTCGATTCGTAAATTGGCTTATGAAACCGACAACACCATGTAACAATCATTGACAAATATTAGGTAAATACCTTTCATTCAACAGCAACATATATTGTTTTCAAAATGAAAAAAAAGTAAGTGAAACATATCATATAAACACTTAACATTAAATCACTCGAGCACCATACTCAAGTCACTGTATATCGATGTCATACATTGACCACACTCGATCACACTTAAGAAATTCAAGAGAAATTCAAACTAAAGAGTAAATTATAATAAAATGTATCTATATGTACATGCATATGATATGGTAATGAGAAATTTCAGTTTATTTAAGGCCAATTCAGTATCTTTTAGAACATATAGAATTATATAAAAACTACAACGAATTTACAAACCTATTTCAGCTATGACTGACTTTGGATTCTCTGTAGTGTAACCTAAAACATTATATGAATGTGAAACATTTTTGTTGAAGATTATATCTATAAATAAATACATATCAGGCATGTTTTCAAAGTTGACATTTTTTAATAGATTAAATTCATATGAAATCAATATTCAATCTATTCTTACAGTACTGTAGCAAAATACAAACTTTCTTTTTATAAAATGAACTTGGAAAAAAGTGAAGAAACTTAATTTCTGAAATACCAGAATCAATGGTAACAGTCGAAGATGAAGTTTTTGGAGTTGAAGTTGAACTTGAAGTTGTAGATAGCAAAGTCCAACCAAACTTGCTTGCCCTTGTGTCACACACCATAGTTTGCTGGATAGAAAGGCTACCATTTTTCACGCATTTCCCTTGAATATGACAAAAGCCAACCTAGAAATAAATTATGTTACATTGTTTACTGTTGTCTACGTTAATAACAACAGAAATAAAAATATTACTTTTAATAAATCATTAGATACGTGTATAAGAATTATTATTTATTTTACATAATCTTCATTTATGATCAAATAAAAATGTTTTATAAAAGCAATATAATTATGGAAATAGTGATTTTACTGAAATCACTGAAGCACAGTAAAAAGTTTAACAACCACAACAACTGGATGCATTTATTAAAATAAATCACAACCTTACAACAGTGGTAGTATTTTCTTACCTTTAAGTCAAAAGTCATACCACTAGACGCGTTCGTATAAGTTTGACATGTTGAATCAAACACATAAACATTCAGTGTTTCGTTACCGAAATTCTGACCATCATTACTTATAGCAACGTCGTAACTTTGAACAAAATCATCTGGTGGCTGGTCGTTAACGCTTCTTCTTTTCCTCAGGTTGTTCAAGTGCTTGATTGGGCACATTGCTTCAATCAATGTGTCGGCTGTTCCTTTAATATCAAACGTTTCAGTGTTCTCCCCACGAGTTCTATTCACTGCCATCTGCAGCAACAATAGCGATAAGTCACTTACACATTTAGTAAGTAAACGACAATATTATCTATAATGACATTCACTATGCAATATGTAATGAAATTTATGATTAGTAAAAACTCAGAAAATAGAAATACAACAACCTTAGTTTTGAAAGATTCACAGTGCTTATGTTCAATATTTTTTTAAAGATATTAATTGCATCTCATTCAGTTATATCCAAAACTTATTCTACAGTTTTAAACAAAAATGTTTTTACTTTGAATGTTCGTATACGACAGGTCAGATTGGTTCCAGCGAAGACTTCACCAAATACATAAATGTGGGTACAATCGGAGACCTTTTTATCACAGAGTCCATTGTCAAGAATCTCTTGAAGTCGCGGTGCTTTATAAATATCCAAATGACAATCGGATGCACCGTATCCACGTTCACAAGTACATTCACCTAAGTTGTAAAAAAAAATAACAATAACTTTTAACTTGCATAAAAACACAGAGTATGCAATATGCTTTTTTTTCGTTACACAAATCTTCCCTCTGAATCAATGGAAACAACAAAGTGGAATGAACATTGAAGACTCGTTAGATTGTATTACTGTAATATTTGTTTCTTACCTTCAGTGTCATTATTGTCTAAAATAAATAAACTTACCATTAGAGCAAAGGCCATGACCGGAACAGTTATTTAAGCACGAAATCTCCTCAATTGTTTTGATATCTTTTTCTATATTTTCTAATTCTTTTAATTCTTCAATTGCTTTAATCTCATTTTGTGGATTTTTAGTGGTGCCCAAAGGAAAGCTGGACGAGCTTGTAGTAGTTGCGTTCTTTGCTTTTTCAATCAAGGCCTTCCTGACGGTAGCGTTCCTATGAATTTCGCCAGTGCATGTATCTATCATAGACTGTTTAGTTATGTCGATCCATTCCGTGGAATTGCTCAACTGAATTTATGAATAATACTGAATTATACTGTTCATCGAACTGATCATCGAACGAAAATCATGTTTGCTTAAGACCGATGAAGATATATTTAATTTCAATCGAATAACTATTAAAATAACTTTTTTGGAACTAAATTGTGTGGACTGGTGGTAAGAAGTATACTTACAAGTAAATATATATGTGGTTAATCATACATAAATAAAACAAAACCCTCAACAAGCTATTTAAAACCTTTTTGGAGCGAGCAGGTGCAAACAAAAGGAACTGATTTTGTGCAGGTAGATAGAGGTTTGAACTCAACCCATGGATAGTTTAAATGAAACCAACACAAGAAGCGTAATACTTACAGTTATATCTAACACGCAGTTCTCGACAGAGATGTTTGTATGTGTGGCAGGTAACTTTGAGCATAGTTCAAATGCTTTTAATGAGTCGAAATATTGATTGCAATGTGTTTTTGCGGATTCCATTGTCCAAACAGTTTGATTTTTGTCAGTGCTTCTCTATATAATAAAAAAATTTAAAGATGATGAACCACTGCTCGTAAATATTTTATAGAAAGTAATATCCAGACTAAATTTTGCAATCATTATAATTACATATTTACGGTACACATTTTCCAGAATTAAAGTATGATAAACTGTAACGGTCCTGTTTCTCTATATTTTAATGACTGTTCATAAAATTGTATCTAACATTTTTGATAAAAATGAAAATCATTCATTAACATTATTCTAAGTACAAAAACTTGCTAAATAAAAATGTTTATTATCCTGCTTTGTTGCACATGTGAAACAAACAAATCACGAGATTTGTGTTGTCAGTCAGTAACGTGTTGTCAGTCTGTAATGCAGACACTACTTTTTGTCAAGGAAATTTAATAAACTGTAATTCTAACTATTATACCTTTTTTAATACGTGTTGTGTTGCCATGGAGTAATGCGATGTTTGTCTGACAATAGGAATGTTGGGTTTATGTGACAGAGATCGGCGAGTGCGAATAGATGACAATCCTCCACAACTGTGTTCTCCAGTCTTTGTCCCGGGAGTGCAATCTGCCACACTTCTATCACAGCGCGTTATTGTGTTTGCATTCTCAGATTCTAACTGGCACATACAAGACGGAGAAGTCCAGCTTTCCAGTATCATATTATGTGCATTTGTAAATAAACTTTCGCTTCTGTTTACCTTCCAACTTTTTATGAACACCTTTGTTGTAGAGTTATCATGAATAGTGCCATTGTTTCTGTTTACAAAATCATCAGATCCATTTTTATTAAGAGAGCCACATAGACCTGTACTATTTTTGTTATCATGAACAGATGGAAGAACAGAGATATCAAGAACTCTTCCACCTTCATTTCCCATCCAGGGTGCATTATCTATCCTGGCTCGTACTGCTGTTCCATACGGCAAATAAATCTAAAATTAGTCGTGTAATCATTTACTCTCGAACATGCCATGAACAGGATGGTGCTTAAAACATTGAATGTTTTTCAAGTCATATACAATTTTCTTTTGATGAATTAACAATGATTGATAAGGTGATATCAAATCAGGGAATATCACTTGTGAGCATTAAACTTATTTTACAGTTAAGGACTTTGTTTTGAATTTTGGGATTTTTTGGGGGGAAAATCAGCGAGAGCTACCGAAATATGTCCATGATGTAGTCCAGTAACATTCGGTTTATGTAAGGATGAATGTTGTTATAATGATAATGTAAACATCTTTTGTGTTTTTTCGGTGTATTCATCCTGGCCATTTGATACATTAAAAGTGTCCACGTAAACACATCACAAATACTTTTGGTTTTTAACACACTTTTAACATTGCTAAGAACGAAAGTGTCGCTAATGAATACACTAAATTTTATTGAGAATTACTGTGTACTTACTGTGTATGTTAAATCATTGTCCTTCTTTACCGTAAGGGCGTTATTTTCACATCTTTTATACCCTATGTCCAGAAGTCTATTACATACATTTATTACATATATATCACTTCCTGCTCGAACGGCTAAACCACAATTACATTTTGCATGCGAGCTACGTCCAACACATGAGGCTATCTTATGTTGTATCTTAATGAAAAAAGTATAAACAGAAAATGAAAAATACTTATAAATGGTATGAAAAAAAAAATGTTCAAAGGTTTACTCTAAACATCGTAAGTTTATATTACAGACGGCAAACTACTAATATATAAACTGAAGTAAAATGTTGTTTAATCATTAATTTATGTTTATTCACATAATTATATAAACATCAGTTGTCATTAACATTAATTCTGATTTCATACATTTGTTATTTCTTATACGAAAACGTACCTCTACATTTTTAAATGTTTTGTGTCTATACAGGATGTACTCGCCTTCTTCTTCGTGATGCTCATATTTTCTGGTATATCAATAATAACATGGGTAAACATGGGTGTTTATTTGATATCGTAATGGCAGAGCATGACGATCACTTAAATATAATGCATCAAAGCAATTGTATGACGTGATTGATATGTTATCAAATACACAGTCAAGAGTAGATCTATATTAAAATAAATATTATAATTATATTAAATTAAAGAGTTTATTAATCAGAAGTATAATAGTATATGATATAATTTCTTAATAATGTTTATAAATAATAATATATAGTCATCAATTTTAAAAAATGAAAACTAAATGAAGGGCATACGTGTTATCAAATGTTTGCATATGGGGGTCATTTCTGGCGCCGCATATTGTTTTTCGCCAAGATCTATCTTCTTCTGGGAAAACTTCAACCTGTGATAACAAGTGTTATAGTTCTTGTTGGGAAACATAATAATTTTGCTCAGAAGAAACACCTTTGTAAGCTCTTAAAATGTCCATTTTTATTTTCATTTTCATCTTATAGCATGAGATAGCTTAGGAAATCTATGAACCATCTAGGCGGCCCAGTGTTTACTAAGATTAAGGTCAAATTTAAAAGCTCCAAGATTCTCCATTGTTCATCCTGAGCTCATAGATAAAAAAAATTAATATTAATTTGATAAAATTGGAATTAAAAATGGCATGTTCGTGAAATTTTAGAATGAATTTATTGTTAATTTTACAAGAACGTGCATTTTACAGTTGATCCAAACATATTGTATATTGTTCTTGATCCTAAAATTGATCCTTATTTTGATCCAATTATTGTGTACCTGCCTTGTTATTCATCGATTCTATCCCAAAATATGATTGTTTTAGTGCAAATCAGTATTTATTTTTTTTACATTTTGTTTTTGTACCATTTCATCCTTAGCAAAAAAATGATCAATTTTAGTTTAATAAAGCAATGAAAATAAAATTAGGATAATTTGATCATGATCTTCACCAGAGATTCGACGATCATTTTCTTGGGGTTTCAAAGCAAAAGAAGTAGTAGCTATATTTGTAGTTTAAACAGCAGGAAATAATCCTGAAAGTCTAAAGTCATGGTAAGCACGTCGGATGAAGAGCATTTTTTACACAAAAAAGAAAAGAAAATAATAATGAATTACACTTGATATGAGCAATGCAAAAATACTAAACATACTATTTAACTTCAACTTACGTTTATGATTGGTAACTTATATCTTTTATGCCAGATCTTATTCATATAACTTTGTTCACCGTGAAATAAGTGAACTTTAAAATGTCCATATACGCCATATTGTCCTGTCTCAGATGTTGTGATTTTGACATACGTTACATTGTTATATGAAGACCGTGTAAGTTGCGTCTGACATGATCCTGCCGCGAAAGAACCTAAATCTGATTTTTAAAAAGGAAATAGAAACAACAGCAGTGAAAAATTGAGAGGTAATATTGCTATCATGTCACTATCTGACACATTTTAGAGTGAAAATACAAAATGTTAACCAAAGAAACTCAGCTACGTATGTATGTGTTTTATTTTCTGATTTTACCGAAAAATAAAATACATACAGGGTTATGTAACAATTATGAGCCCCAGGGTGTTACGAGAAATATCTCCCGAGAAATTTTCTCTATGAAGATGATATTCGATCAGAAAACATTATAATTACATTGCATTTTCTATATTGGAGTTTTACATTAAAAGGCATACTTGAGGCATACTTGTATAAAATATTTCATGCACAGAGATGAGAAAACTTAAATAAATTAACAAAATTAAATGAATTATTTATCATCATAACTCAAAGAAATAATACAGAAAACAACAACAACAACAAGAGAAACAGACATCTAACAGATATCACTTACTAGCACATTTATCATCACTTGGGATCATGTGTCGAAGCTGCATAAAGCATACATGTGCATTTATAAAATCTTGTGAGCAAACGATTGGCATTGTGTTAATGATCTCAATAGATTTGGTCTCGCCTTTTCTCAAACTTATATTCTTGTCTTTTACAATAAGACCCGCAAAGTACGGTGATGAAAAGTCAGAAATTGAACCTGGCTGACCATTAGGCTTTCTGAAGGCCCTTATCGCACATGATATCTAAAATAAAAGATTAAGATCAAACGTATATGTTTCAGTATTAACGTGACATTGCGGTATATGGATCTAATCTTTCCCATACACAAACTCTATTACATGTACCAGTATTAAAGTTCTTCTTGTATTTAGATAAAACAAACACTTGATATTTTAATCTACAAAAAATAATAAACCAAACGACAGTTCTTCAAGATGTTTTCTGACAAACCATTGACCGACAATCATATCTCAAATATAGTTTACATTATGTTTAACTTCTAAGCCGGCTTGTAACTAAATGTCTAAATGGTATACGATGTGTTGTAATTTTACGTAAGGTCGAATAAATAATAAATATAGATATAGACTTAATTTGTTTATTAAGTTACCATTTCTACGATTTATAACGCTCGTTTGCTGATTGGCAAATTGACCTAACAATATTTATTCATTATCTATCAATTCATTTTAAGTACCCAAATTCACAAATTGTAGCGCCCTTTGATATGCTATTTATGCTATTTAATCATGCATGTTTTACAATTTAAGTTACCATACTTACCACAACATAACCACTTTTCATTGCCGTGGCAAATCAGTAATAACAAGTATTACTTCTGTAACTTTCTTAACACAATAACTATAGCAATATTAAACTATAAACTATGACTTCACATTTTAAACGTTCATCAAGATTAAGCTTCTTAATATGATGATGAAGAAGAATAAAATACAAACTAAGGTTCTTTGTTTATGGGAAGATTTGACACGGACTTTAAAGTATCTTTGAAAAAAAAACCTCAATATGGTTGCGATTCCTTGATTAACTAATTTATATTTAATCGGGAAAACAGTAAAGGAAAGTTGTTTTTTTTATCTTTTTTAGTGAACTTAACAACTATCGCGCCACTATTAAATTTGAAATAACCATTCCAAAATATATGCAACCTTTTTAGATGACAATTTAGAAAAGCACGAAAACAGTTAAATCAAAATCAGCGTTCAAGAATCAGTAAATAGCATTTTCCTCCTGTCAGGCCTTCTTGATTATATAACTGCGCATCTGAACTCCATACCGTGCTATAACACAGGTGACTCAAAATGATGATATATTTCCTAAATAAAATCACCGTTGATGATCTATATTTGGACATGTGACGTAACCATTAAACTGCGACCTGCTGTAAATAAGTACGAAAGAAATCAAGCATTATTTAGCTTGATATCAGGTACAGCATTTATTTGTTTAAATCGTGTAAGAATCTAAATAAGATATCTGAGGCAGTGATTTTATCGCTTTATAAAATCACTGTCTGTAATTAGGATGCGCAGTATTATATCACTGGGCTGCGCCTTCATGATATAATACCTCGCCTCCGAACTACCAGGGATATATCATTTCAATTGTAAACTTAACATCTAAAATCTGTTTCATGTGAAGAAAATGTACTTACATTTATTCCCAGACCAATATCATACTTTCCAATGTCTTCATCAGTAAGCTCCAATTTATCAATGTTGCTTTCATTAAAAAACTGTTTGGTAAAAGAAGCATGATAGTTTCCAGTTATTTTCCAATGCACTTGATAAAAGAGGTGATGGTCTTTGCTCGAAGGGTCAAACTTGCATTGAAATGTAACGTTTACTTTACTGACTTTTACCCTAACTGTGACTTTTTCCGCCACAAATTCTGTTGGTTTTTCTGAAATATATACCAGATATTAATATCGCCGAGAGGGATAATTAGATTTACAACTAGAACAAAACAAGAAGTGAAACTATAACTCCTTGCACGAGCCCACAAATTAAAAGTAACGTAAATCATTCATTTTTGACGTTCAAAAAAAGCGGGTGAATTCCAAAAATAGAAATAAAATTGATAATTAGTTAATTAGAAGGGTCTGTGTTATAATTATTGAAACAAGGATAAAAAACTAACTACATTCCTACTATTGTTTTCCCCAACTATTTTGAAACTTTTATGTATGCCTTTCTATTCTTGTCTTAAAATTAAAAACTGTTCAGAATGCAGCATGTCGACATATCTTGATAAGAACATAAAACGTGATTTTTTTGCCATGATACATATTTCTTACTGTAAAATGTCATTGCATCCTCTCCATCTAAAATATTTTTGTTAACATTTGTCAACACCTACGGTCCAGCGAATATACAATTATAAAATAACATGATCCATGTTTTAATATGAATTATTTTAAAGCTTTGAAGACTAGCTATGAATGTGTTACACATCAATATCAGGGTTGAATACTGTCTAATCTTTATAATAAAATAAAATGCGCCATAAAATCATGTGATATTAAATATGAACATTTAAATGTTTAGTTAAAAATGGTATTTCCGAATGACTGCACCGTCGTCGTAAAATCCTGCACAACCAGAAAAATATCAATATAAAATTACGCCTTAGCTTCTTTATCGAATATAAATATATCATTATCATCATAAACAGTTTCTTATCTTTAATTATGCCCGTAAATTTATTGAAAAAAATCCACACACATAGACATCTATGCAAACCAAAATTGTAGGATAAAAGAAGGAATGATTTATAATAATTATTATATTGTTACTGTTACAACATTCTGCTAAGACTGTGTCCTTGTTGATTTAGCGATCGTATATTTATCATAATGATAAAGTAACAAAAATGCGTTAATTATCATATTAAATGATTAAGTAACAAGAACAAAAATGTTGTTTCTTGAACATCCGTTATCTATAACGGAATAAGAGCAGGTTTTTGTAAAACTATAAGAAGGATAATAAACATGTTACATTTAATGTCAAAGAATTACGATAGCTACAAATACATATCTTAAAGTGTATTATGATAAGTAATTTAGATGAATTTTAAAAGACAAACATTATAATCTGTCGCAATCAATCTTTACAAGACATGTAAAATGTGACGTGAATCATAGAGCGACTAAATAAAATGCCTATATAAATATAAAAGCTCTTCATCGTCTACGATTTGTCAGATTTTTTGTGAAATAAAATCTGCGACTGGTACAAGTAAATATAAAATGCCATTCAAACACTTTACATATTAGAGATAATTGGTGAAACAAAGACAAACAAAGTCAGATGAAACGTTACATACCATCTGATCCAATACCTAAAAATAAAAATCATTTACATGATTTATGGTACTAAGAAATCATATCATGTATTCTTTTTGTGTATCGATATATTGTTGAATATATCTAGAAGATATATATCTATTTTAAGAATTTTAATTAAGCATACACAAAAATGCCTTAGTGACAAAAAGAAAACTCTAGTCATCTATTATAGATTTTTAAAAGAAACAATCATTTAGTAAAGCGGATGGTTTCATACATGAATTCCATTTTACATACCTAACATGAACATCACATTATTGAAGTAAACAGTTAAATTAAGAATAAGTGACAAGAAGAAAATATGATAATGTGATTATGTACCAAAGCAGTATCCACTTTGGTCGTTTTTAGTTGGACCTAGTCTGTACACGTAGTCACCGTCGTTGCAATGTTTAGCCAGAATTTTGTACTGAACAATTGGCATATTTTCTTCGGGTACTTGCTTGGCTGTTATAGTAACCGGTTTACTCTGGTATGGCACTGTATCTATTAAATCAAAATATTGATAACTCCAAAGTAGAGTTTCAAAAACGCGCGTCGAAAGAAAATTTTAAATATATTATAATATGTACATGCATTTTTCATAGCGAATAATTCGAACGTAAAATTTTGATATAAATAAGACGAAAATGTGACGCTGAGAAAGAATACGCTTAACCTGTCTTTTATGGTAAATGTGATATAAATATGTGTTTAACGAGAAGTGAATATGCAATTTTATATCAATTATAGCTTACTTGATAGTATTTTGTTTATAAAAAAACAAAAACAATATTATAACATCAACCATTTTACTGGTCGAAGGAACCTATTTGACTAAATTTGAATCCTTCATCCAGTGCTATAATCTATGTTTGATCAATTACAGCTTCATATTTTTCTAAAACTCCACGTTCAATATAAGATTTACCTGCACTGTAAATAGGAAAGTGTGTTCCACAACGATCAATTGGAGGTTTCTTATCCGGAAATGTCTTGTTACCAACATTATACCATCGGAATGATAACTTGGAATCATTATATACCTTTTTAAGATCCTCAGTGTGTACATTGAAATATCGTATATCAAGATTTGGCAGTCTTATACTTTCTTTTGGCTTGCATGGATCTATGTTATCTATGTAATCTAAAACAATATAATTCAGCTCATTAGCTGCAGAGCAGAATCATAGTTAATTACCAATAATCAATCTACTTTATTTCTACAGATGAACCATCCTTTACATGCTTTGATCTGGTAATAATTGTTGTGTTACATTTATAAGCCATTGAATATCTGAATACACTTTTCTTAAATTCAACATTTCATCTCTACGATCTCTGATAATCATTAATGAGAGTAGATTGTGAAAACATGAAATAAAAAAATCAAAATATATATTTATTAAGTACAAACATGTATTTATCTATAATAAAAATGAATATTATCATTTTCCATCATTTAACCTTTTTATTTCAATTAAATAGTTTGCTTTAACTACCTACCACATGTTATTGCAACGTCCTCAGTATGTTCACAGTTGTGGACTCCCCACTCTTCCGATTTACATTCAGAAATGTCTTTTTCTGTACCAAGACAATCAAGGTCGTCAATCCAAATACTGCCATTACCATAACCAATCGCATTTTTCGAATCAGTCCTATATACTTTACTGTAAACAGGAAATAGATAATAACACATGCCAAATATCATCTTAGTTTTAAAGCATTTTGCTTAGTTTGTCCTCATAAACAAGTATTTGGCTTGTTCATTAATACAAATTTAAAAGATTGACTCTAAAAAATGTCGAAATAAAGAGAACATAATAAGTAATGTACAATTACCACAAACGGAGACTTTTCTAATAATCCTAATCTAGGTACAGCTCTTGAAAAACACGAAAACAGAAAAATGGTTTGAGACTTACGACTAATCTTTCTTTTATGGAATTTGTAAATGTAGATTAAACTATTATTGTTACGAAAAGGAAAAGATAGATATGATAATGAAATGAAACGACCATTAACATTCTAAATAATCATATTTCATAGTCTAAATATTTTTCACATCATGTATACTTGCCCTACAGTAAAGTTAAGCATCGAACATAAAACCATAGCATCGCTGTCGTCAAATTTATCATCGCAAATAGTACCCCATTTGTCTTTATAAAATACTTCGACCCTGCCCGAAACAGCATCCTTCTTTCTCTCCTCTAAATTGACATTTTGACCATTTTTGTCTACGAGTTGTATTTCTGTTTCAGCCCCTTAAATGAAACAGTATACTGATTTAACACCTTGACATTAGATCTTCAATTTAATTTACAAAATCATCACAAAATATATTAAATGATATCACTTATAAACTATTAACAATACAACCTGTGCAGATCATCATCCTTTCGGAGACAAAGATTCTGATTCTTGTTTAGTGGTGTTGCTCAAAAGATATACTGTTACGTTCCAGCTTTATGGTCGAAATAGAATAAAATATAAACTTACTGCAATTAATAGCGACAGATTCATGCGAACTACATGAATGTTCCGGTTTTGTCCAATTTCCAGACCCACAGAAAAATAAATCATCCTCTTGTCCGTTACATCCAAGGGAGACGATTGAAGGTTGATTGTTTTCAAACCCATAATATCTTGATCCGTGGATCGAGATAATCACAGAGCTATAAATAAAATAAATATTTCAGCGAATATTTCAATAATCTGGCACTGAATGTAATGTTAAATATAATCTACTTAACCTTTGACATAATAACTGAGCGTTTAGATATTACAGCTAGGTTTTAAATATTATAACATAGAAATTGAGAAAACAATTATTCTACAATTGTAAGGCTGCATTAGTTTTTTTGTGTCCTATATATTAAGAGTTTTGATACGTACATGTTAGTTTGACATTCTTATAACCATGAATATCATATCTAAATACAATGCCTCTGAATTTCTTAGAACCCCATTAAAACAAAATGCCATATTATATTATTTGTTCGTATAACCTCAAAATTTATTTACTTTTGGTGTGTATTTTTACACAATTGGCCTTTTAGCTGAACAACCTTTTGTTCAACCTTATTATTTGTAACGTTTCGATATTTTAGTATATGCAATGAAAACACAAGTCTTTCCTTCACTCTTTACAAAGACCTTAATAAGGACCAATATAAAAACAAACTCATAAATGCTTTGCATGTATTGTTAGATCACGTGGCTCATCATCATTCGACAACAAAATATTGACATATAAATCAACAAATGATTGTTATTTCTCATGGTACAAAAACATTCACAAATTTCTCAGTACAATAATAATAATCACGTTTGACTCGCCCAGGAAACACCAGAGATAAAAAACTTTTACTTTTAAAAACATTTACTCTGGAAACCTGTTTCCATTTGTCAAATGTTATACCGCTGAGTGTTGGGACTCACTCTTACATACATCTAACCTGCTTATCATCTCATTTATTTAACGAAATCTGAACATCTAACAACATAACATAACATAAAAAACAAAATGCAACATAAACCAATCTGAACTATTTAAATTGCTAATAATATTATTTAAGTTCCATATGTTTGTCTACAATAGCGTAAAATGATGCTCGACAGAAACTTAAAAACGAAAATTTATCAATAATTGCAGTAGATAAACAATCAATATAGATATCCAATCCTTGACCTTTAGTCATAATATTATACATAAAAACAAAATTGATATAACCGACTGAACAATGCGCTAGTGTCCGGTAGTCTGAATTAAACCTACTGTAAAATCCTTATATATACTAACAAGATACCACACGCATAACACGTGCAGATACTTTTTACATTACAAAAACTGTCCATTACCATATTATGTATACGCATCGTTAAGACAATATTATCACTCAACTTGAACGAAACGCGTGAAAATTTTAGTCTTTCCTTCACTCTTTACAATTACCTTAATAAAGGACCAATATAAAAACACTCATAAATGCTTTGCTGGACAAGCATGTAGACATTAAAAATTAAGGGCTTTACGTTTACGTAGCGTCAATAAGTTTAGGAGTCAATAAAAGATGAAGAAGCATATTTGAAACCTTAAGTCGCCTAGACAAAGAATCTGCAACATAGCCATCTTTACTACTATCGGACTTCCACCGACCATGACGCTTCCAACATCTATCATTTACCCCGGCTTTGCAGCTACAGTAGCTTCACCGGATCTAAGCGAGTGCAAACAAATATTTAAATTACCTAGAAAATGACGTTACCTTTCTAAAAGGCACTCTCTAGCCCTTGTATAACTTAACGGCTTATTCTTGAAAATCAGTTTACAATTATTGCCTGATCTAAAACAAGTCCTAAATAAAAACTTTTCACCAGAAACATCTTGGTCAGTATTAAACATATCGTTTTAACATGTTAAAAGGACATGCAACGGTTTTGCCTTTTAAAATAACAACTTCGCTACCTAAACGATATTGATCAGTTTTACATTTTGAAATTTTAAGAGACATATAATCTTCAAAAATTCTTACATCATTACATCATAGTGAACTAAGTTCATCAAATCTCAGAAAACCCGAAAAACCTAAAAGAATGATACATAAATTCCTTTCAATTAAAATATCTCTTGAATTTTCAAACTCGTTACAAATGCTTATCAATACTTCTACATTTAACGGCTCCTTTTTATCTACCTTAACGTGAGTTCGTTTCGCAGATTCTAATATATTTTTAACAAACAAATTGTCAGTGGGAGCCGAAAGTCCCTCTAAACCATGTGCCCATTTAACGCTATAAACAGTCGCTGAAATAACACTAATCGAATTCTTTTTATCTTAAAGATCAGTCAAATATATAGCTATGTGTATAGGTGACTAATGTACCGAGTTTCCTCCCTTTTCCTTGATGAAATTTTCCCACTTTTTAAAGTATGACAAAATTAACGTTTGTGTTATCACTACGGGAATTCGATAGTTGCTCAGCCACTTTACGAGGTAAATCACCAAAACCTTCTCGAGATACACCTGCCTCATATATGTTGTCGATGATAGCTTCTTCTATTTTCAAACCTGAAAAAATAAAACGAAATTAAACACCTGTTTCTATTTTTAACGCCATCAACCCAAATTTTAAAGGCCTCCCATCAAAAATACCCTTCCTACCCCTACCACGACTAATCAACACGCCAGGTTTGAACTGAAAACTGATTTTTATAAACGAAGCATAATCTTTTCTGTTCGGAAATATTAACGGTCAAATAATTTGCAGATCTCCAAATGGGAACAATTAGCGTACAAGTACACCCATCTGAAATAGCTTTTTCTATGCATTTAATGATAAGCCTAGGTGATGGAACCAGCCAATTTACATGGCCCGTCCATGTTTGTTTAAAACCATTAATACCACTCGTATTATGACACCAAAATCTTGAATTAAAAGCCTGACACTTCGTATTAAAGTCGCAAGCAAACCTATCTATAGATTGGTGCCCCCATTTATGTTCAAGTGCAAGAAATATCCAATCAAGCACTGACCAGTCATCGCTATAACAGCACCTGCTCAAAAGATCTGCCCCCGTGTTTATCGACCTAGGTACCCATTCAGGCAGTAAACTGATTTCACTTCTTCTGCAAATTTCATCTACATTCAAAGCATTTATTTGCAAATGCGGCTTAGAACTACCAGTACTGAGAATAACCGGTACGTTTTTATTATCATCTTCCATATAACAAATTTCCCCTTTAGACCATTTAGATTACTTAATAGCATCCTGTTACACACTCTTCTCTCCACGTGGAGCTAGTCATATTCTAGGACTCGGACCAACTTCCGATGACCTCGCTATCGGTCGCACCCTCTATATAGCCCCCAAAACGTTTTATTCCTTCATCTGTAACAGATATATTGCCTAATTGTGTATCCAAAACAAAACCAAGCCAGACGACAGTTTGTGAAGGTTCCCAAAAACATTTATCGTCTGCTAATAAAAACCCAAATGCTTGCAAGTCATTTCTAATAAAATCACTCAAAACGGAAACTTTTTCAAAGGAAACGTCCCCTCCCATACCATCATCTAGAATAAAGTACAATCCGATGGCCCATAGAGCGCCAATGCTTAATAACTTCCCTTAATCACTTTTGTAAAGATATACCCTGCTACACATATACCAAAAGGCAAAACATTAAATATGTAAAATGTTTTTATACCATCTTCTTCCCATGAAACCCCTAAAAAAAATTCGATGGTTTCTCGAAATCTCAATTTGGTGGTTAGCAGACTTTAAATCAAATGTGAATAAGTAATTTCCAGTAGAAAATAATAATTTTGCTACCGATTGATCTTCAAATGTACATTTATATTTGAACAAATGAAGATTCACGTGCCTACAATCTAATACCAAACGTGGCTTCCCGGAGCTGCTAAAAGCAACGGTTAAAGGATTAACTACATGTGGGCCAGTTGTAACCTCTGTGATACACCCCTTGACTTATAATTTTCTAATTTCTTCCAAAACAAAAATACGATTTTCCAGCGCAGACTTATTATGTCTTAAAACATTTTTCTCAGGTAAAGCTTTTAAAGGCAGCTTAAAGCCTAATTTTATAACCTCCAATACAAAGCTACTTGCGCCTGCTTTTTCCAAATGAGAAATATTTTCCCGCAGTTTGCCAACTGGAGATAGAACCTTTTCATTGTTCTCTCTTGATCTATTATCAAAAATTGTCTTATCTGAATAGTTATGCAATAATGAATAGGATTTACATAAAATCTACTTATCTAAGACGCCCTAGCATACTGTACCTCCTTAGATCTCATCTTACAGTCAGCCTGCCAATGCCCTGGTATCCCACAACGATATAACAACCCCGGTTTTCTACCTATCGTCTGAATACGTGCGCCTGAAGGTGACGTAACGGCTGATTGTGAACTGGTTGCCGGAACTACATATGGAGTATTCCGCTTAGTCATGGCCAACCTTTCCTGCTTGGCTTTGCGTTCAGCATGTAGCTTGGCTCGATAGACCTTCTTTTCATCATCCAAATCTTCGGCTAGCGGGTGAGCCTCATAATCATTTACAACCCTCCAGCCCAATTCAGTTGAGTCAGCTAACTTTATAAGCTTTTGACGGTGAAAACCATCGACAACTTTCTGCCGAACTGCCTCTGCAGAACCCTCAGCTGTCATGCCACTAAGCTGACCCTCTGCCTCATGTAGACTGCCCAGCACATTGAAATTGATCTTAAACTGCTCCTCATTTCCTTTCTTTCGAAATTGATAACAAAGCTCTGTTGAAAGTTAGCTATATGTGCCTCAGCAAGCTGTTTCTGCGTTTCACAAATCTTCGTTTCAAAATCAGCTAACTTATTTGAAACAAGAGTCTCAATCCTAGTCAATAATTGATTTTCTTCCATCTCTAATGTCACGTGGTCCGCAATGCAAATCTCACAAAATGGATAAAACCGACTGAAAAATGCGCTAGTGTCAGATAGACTAAATTAAACATACTGTAAAATCCTTATACAGTGTATATACTAACACGATATCGCATGCATAACACGTGCTGATACTATTTACATCACAAAAACTGACCATTACCATATTGTGTATACGCATCGTAAAGACATTATTTTCACGCTATACTTGAACGAAACGCGTAAAAATTTCATACTGCTTCGTTTTTTGTGACAGATTATAACATACTGCACACTTCTTTCTCCACGTGCGTACACGTCTAATTTATTCTTAGTATATTATCATACTGTATTATTTAAAACGGGAAAATCGTTTTAATGTTAGTGGTTTATATTGATTTTTAAGCATTATGCTATTTAAACCAGGTGTTTCAATGTATAACTAGTTAATGTTAATATCAAAATATAAAAATATTTTGATACTGATTGAACATAATCTCATACTTTATTTTTTAACATTATTAAGTTTGATATAAAATAAGCAACCACACAGCGCATTAAACTTTTAGCAAGATTGATTTAGTTGCGCCTGTTTATGGGTGGTACTGCAAGTGAACATTCATGCACCCTAGCACCGGTTTTAGAAAAATGCAACATTTGAACATCACGGTGAAATTTTTAATGAGAAAACATTCACATTTGTGTTAATACGTCGGTAATCATGAACGTAAATGAAGCAAGTTCGTGTGAAATTGTTCTTCATAACCCGGTTGACGGAATTTTTATGATTAAAGAATAATTTATCGTATATTTTTCCTTCAAGTTATCTTTTTTATTTGTACAAAATGCTTACCTATCATTATCACTTGACAAATGAGATAAAATACAGACTGCCTTTGCATCATCTTGTGTGAATCCATCATAGCAAACAGAATTCCAAGATTTATTTATATAAATTTCAACTATCCCATCGAAATTAGTCCACCCACCACGAAGGCGCACTGGCGTGTCTGATAGAAAAAAAAATGACGAGTCACAATATGAAAAATATATCTACATAATACTTTTAAACATGGCACGACATTAATCGCCTTTCGTTACTTACATCTTAAGAAAAATAAGGAACATATGTATTCATTTATATTTCATTGTAACACACGTTCTAAATGCTGTGATAGTTTACAAAAATACTAATTATCTCTGCCAAACAATTGCAAAACACAAATATTTTATCAGTTTGTGCGCATTGTTGAATCACACAATTTTTGAATAATTGAATAAGCAACACCATTTCAAAGGAAACTTAATGATAAAAACATGATAGCATTTTATTCCATTTTACCGTCTTATTACTTATATTAACATATTTACTGCAAAGAACAGAGACGTCATTCTCATGTGTACAGAACTCGTGCGGTTCGGCCCATCGATAGGGTGTGTCACAATATGATATGTCACTTTCATTCCCCGTGCAATTCAAATTCGAGATAGTAATCTCCCCTTTTCCTTTTCCATAAAATGCGTTTTTCTTGAAACCAACGCTCCTAGATTTAAAAAACGGTATTCAACTTTTGAAGCATAATTTAAGGAAAACGAACCATGAAGTTATTTTATAGTTATTAAAAATAAAGAAAAATTGTATAAGGTAATGCAATGAAATTCTTTAAAATCGGGACGTCTTTTACCGAGTGTTTAATTTATCTGACTTCAAACCACCAGCCCCTTCGAATCTCGCTAGGGACTTCATGTTAGGAAACTATCAAGCTAGCTTATGGAACGTCGAAGGTTATATTTAGGTATCCGCTCGTGCCTGAAATAATGCACGGTAGGGCACCTGGAGTCTTCCTCGAAGTAAAGCCGTAAGGTAACCAAAAACACATCTTCTGTCTTAGTGCGGCGTAAAACCCAACCAAAAGAAAAAAAAATGTTTATGTGTAACGAACATCAACTTAATTTTATAGATTCATAAACTTACACAAAATTAAACTTCTCTTATTATGTAGTTATTTTCTGGTGCATCAAATATTTTAAATAATTATCTTGGCGACAAAAACTTACATGGTATTATATCCTAAACTCCTGCAGACCACTATAGCATCGTTTATATCAAAATCTCTGTCGCATACTGTTCCATAATGTTGTTTGTATTCAACTTCAAGACGACCAGTATAATTACTTGTCCCGTTTAACAGTTGAATTGGAGTATTTGGTCCTATGATAAATCAAAACTATTTATGAACTAACTTCTTTACTACGAAGATACTTTAAAACTGTTTGATTTTTTACCGTCCACTATTTCAAATTTAACCTTTATATCATTTGAATATTAGAAAACGTTTTTACAAATGTACTGTATTAATTTTAAAGAATTCTTGCAAACTGTCGTGAGAAAGAAATAAATGAAGAAAAAAAAACCATTCATTTTATCAATATGAATAATCTTGTTCTAATATTGACTAAATTAGTTTTGGCACAATTTTAGATATATGTTACAATAAATGTTGTTTATGTACGTACTACAATTAACACCAGCATTTCTGCATGGAGAGTTGTTCAATTTCCAAGGATATGATCCGCACTCATCTAATTCACGTTCTCCTCCGGTGCAGTTAAGATCATTTACAGTAAAATTACTACTCTGATAGCCAAATCGAGAGTTCTTGAAAATATCTATATTCCTGAAATGTAAATTTAGAGACATACTTGTTGTTGTTATGCTAACAGAAATCATACCCATTAACCGCGCTGAAAATGTAAAATAATCATCGAAGCAACAGCAATATTCACTTAATATAGGTTGCCTTTGTTGTCACGTATTACGTATTAATTTAAATTTTCAGCTGATTTTTCTCTTCTACTTAATTTTACACGAAACGAATGTATTTTAATGATGATATATTAATATAAAGTTATTGCGTCGAGTAAATCAATTAAATAAATACACATGTAAAAATGGCACATGTATTGAAATACAACAAGATGCACTATTTTTTAACTCATTTATTTGTATTGCATAACTCACTGACATTCATTTAGTATTCAAGGGATCAAGTACGACTACTTATTCATATTGCCACATTCAAAAGGCGTGTATTTTATTACTCGAATTCAATCCGTTAAATAAATACAATATGAAAAGACAATCATGCATGATCCTTTATGTCAATAACCTATTTTCCCACTTATTATCTATTTGCAATGTAAGCGTTATAATTGTTTTTTAAACTAACTGAGTTTGGACAGTTGGATATTTAATTATCACTATATGGCGTTTTTAAACAAATCTAATAAAAATTTAAAGAACCAATGTATTCTTACCGTTATAAACGGTTTCTGCTGGATTGCAAAAAATATCATCCCTTTCATACAGAATGAATGTCAGTGATTTATGCAGCACCAATAAATGAGCAAATAAAATAGTGCATCTATTGTATTTCAATACATCAGTTTTACATTTGAAATTATTGAACTGATTTACTCGATAAATAATTTATTACCCGGTATATCTGAATTAAATTATAATTTATAAATCCATTGTCAATTGAAGAGCATGAAGAATGTTGGTATAGGCCAAAAGTTGGTAAAGTTTCTTAGAATCAACACAAGAGCTTCCTTAAACGTATAATGTGGAATGTATTTTATAATTTATTCATGTGAAGTTGTGAACAAGTTATCTTAAACAAATGAAGTAATCTTAAAGTTATTAGATGAACGCTTACTTTTCCTGCAATCCAATTTCCCTACAAACAACTTCAGCGTCTCTAGAATCAAAATGTTTCTCACATACTGAACCCCAAACTCCCAAATATTGAAACTGGATCTTTCCAATATAATCGTTTACACCTCCAACCAAACGCACTCTGTCATCTAAACATAAATAAGAGAAAGATAGATAATAAATTAAAACTATCATAATTTTAAAGAATCGGAAACCATAACATTTTTTTTCTTGTAGGATATGTTTTACATTCATATTTGATTGCTCCTTAACCTTCCTTAATTGATTTTAAACATTTAACATGCCATATTCTTAGAATTATGTTCATAGAATCTATATAACGATCGTGTTGAAGAATGAAATGGAATTATCAAAAAACTAAAATTAAAAACAATTTTTTGTTAAACATTAAAACTTAGTTATTATAAACTAAGCTTTAGGTTAGAATTAAAATTTTTTAAATTTAAAAAGGTTAAAAAATTTTAGTTCTCCCCTTTTTAAAATAATGTTTTTAAATTAACATAATTTACCTAATATGTTTAAAGGAAAGAAATTTTTCAAGTTTTCCCTTTCAACCATTAAAAAAAAGCAATTATATTGAAAATACATTTTCCTGTAGAGACACTTTCAACAAAGTTTTTTGTTTATTTTTTATTTTTTTGACAAGTAATATGGACCTTTTTCCAAAATAAGAATGCTTTCGGGAAAACAAGGTTTTTGATTATGATGTATAAAATGAAAAATACGTCTATGATTTCAATTTTAATTCCTGTTTTCTTTCTTCGTCCCATTTTGCAAGTAGGTTATAATTAAGTTTGGTATATTTTTGAAATAATTTTAAATGAAATTTTCTTAAAGTTTTTAATAGGATTGCCTTTTGAATTGGAAAAAAAATGCCGTGTCAAACTTTCTGTAAACACTCGTTTTGTAATAAGAGTCATGATAAATTTAAAGAAATGTTATAATATTATGGCAAATGATAACTATAACCTTTCGTGATGAAGTTAAATCATAATAATTATAGTAATTATTTTCAAACCACTAAATTATAAAACATATCCTTCATGTGATAAAGGAAAATATTGAAAATTTAATGTACTTGAACATTTAACTGTTGCCTTCTTTGGTCAAAACCATTGCAATACGTTCCCATACGAAACCAAGAGACTGATTCCGCATTCAGATATATCCCTTTTCGACCCAGAGCACGACAGACCGTTCTAACCAACACATCTGATTTATTTGTTAAAAACTGGGTTACCCTTTTCCGCTGAAAATATGATAATCAAATGAATAAAAGGCAGTGCCTTAAATTGTTATACGAAATTTGTTCCCAGTCATAATTTTTTAATTTTATTCTGGCTTGGTATGTGTAAACAAAAACAAGTGATGATGTACTTGTACCTCATTTTTCTTTCAAAAATACTAATGTAGTCAAAGACAAATACATTGTGGTAATTTTATCAAAATATAGAGCAGAGATAATAATCAGTGGAATTATTCAAAATCTAAAAGTATGTTATTTGAAACAATGGTATATTGTTATTGACTTATTTTAGAAACCAAATCGTTTGATACGATTTTTCAACCTTCTAGTTTGAAGAAAAAATACAATATATTTTGTCTAACTTCCTCGGTTAACACATTTAAATTTTACTATAGTTAAATAACAAATAAATAATAAAAATGTTAAAATTAATTTAAAACAGATAATTTAGGTTTACTTATAAAATATTAAAGGTAACTACCCCACTTTGAAGCCAAGCATGTTGCATATTACACTTGCATCTGTCGTATGGAATTGATTGTAACAAACTGTACCCCATCGGCCCTGATAGTTAAATTCCGGTAATCCTGATGATTTCGTACCATTTATCCGCACAGGAGTATTCGGACCTGTTGATTATTAAAAGATAATTAACAGTTAAATGGCTCTTATCTACTTGTTGGTCGACCGTGAATACCGGTTAATTTAAATAACCTTTGTGAGTAAAAGTACTTTAATGATGTTATATAAAAGTATCTGAAAAGAAAGGAAAAAAGAAACTTACGACAATTGACAGCAACTGCTCTATTAGATGTATTGCAGTTGTGTGTTTCCATCCATGGGGCAGATTTACATTCTTGTAAATCAGTTTCATCACCTGAGCAGCTGAGATCGATGATTGAGTAGGATGAATAGCCATATTTATTTCCATAATAGATTGTTGCATTTCTATTTATAAAAAGAAAATTTTATTTTAGTTAAAATTTTGGGTATTCACGGGAAACAAGATAGGACAACCAACGTATTTACGTTTTTGATTTTCATTTTGAAAAAGGAGCTTTTTAAATTTTTATTTTTAAACAAAAAAATTTACTATCAAAATTGTAATGAACATTAAAAAAATTTGGGATGGGGAAGCCTACCCCAAAAATTTAAATATTCTTAGAATTCAAAACTTTCAAGCAGTCTACCAAACTAGTTCCTTCACTTCAATTACTTCTGCACATACCAGAGAAAATATCCAGTGCGAATTACCATAGAAAGGACCTCACGATCAATCACAACGAGAGTGAAATGTACCGCCCGAGAATCGAGCCGGGTCTCCGAATCACAATATAATGCTCTTCAAATTAGCCCGCGCTTTCCATAAAGTATATTTTAAAATGTGGAATCTGTCAGCTATGATTTTCCATTAAAAGGTGTACAATTTTCATAGAAAGGGTCGGTAGTTTATGTAACTAATACCTGTATGTTTCTATTCCAATCGATCGGCAGACGACATCGGCGTTTTCTAGAGTAAAATTATCACCACATATTGACCAGTGACTGTCTCTATATTCTACTTGAACTCGTCCAACGTTAGGATTCGACCCCTGATGTAGACTGACAAGTGTATCTAGAAATAAAAAAGATACTCTAAGATGTAAAAGTACTTTTAGTAGTCCAAGCATGTATATTATCATTTTTATAAAGATAATCCCCTGATAAATTTCATTGTGACTGTTTATTTTAAAATTTATTTTGTGGCAGTAAACATTTACTTCAAGACACGCAAATATTAATTAACAAAACTAAATGAATAATAATTTATATGTCAAATAACTTACTGCACTCTATCTCAAGGGGTTGAGTATCAGGGCAGGAATAACCAGAGTTCCAATCATTTGAGACACATTCAGATATATCATCTGCTAATCCGTTATTTTCGCAATTGAGGTTAGATACATAATAACTTGTTCTACCAAATGTTTTGTTGCTGAATGATGGCTTATCGTTATAAGAATAATGCATGACAGCGCCGCTGAAATATATGTACGTTGTGAAACTATGCATTCAAATAATATCACAACACTCAAAATTAAATTCATTTTACAATTGTCGAGGTCGAAACATTTGTTAAATCATAAGCAATCTGTATAATTGAGCTATTTCCACTTTTAAATGAGTTTGTGAAATGCCATAATTTATTTGAAATTGTACTAAAAATGTTTTAAAATCACAATATCTCAAGATTTACATGGTACTTACGTAAGCACTACAATATTCGGTATGTCACCTTGTGTACTTACTTATAATTGAAACCCAACATCTTACACATAACTTCATACGCTTTGCTATTGCTGTTCTGGCAAATCGGACCCCAAGATCCATTAAGATAGATCTCTGGACGACCTTTGTATAACGTTGGCCCGTCAACCAATCTGATATTGGTACCTTTTCATGCAAATAAAATCATTTGTACAGTGTCATGTTATATTTGGAATAAAGAATTAACATTGATTACATAATGACAGAAAAGTGCATTTAAATATTCCTTCATGCCCTTTTTACAAATTCATTACAATTATCATTTAGTTTCATTTGATTGTTTAAAAAAGATGACTATATGCCTTACTGCAGTTTATGTATGCAGGAGAACTTGTGGAACAATTTGTTTCTTGTATTGCATTTTGACATTGTGATACGTCATCTTCATCGCCGTTACACTGAAGATTACCATTTAGGTAATATGCATGGTTTTCAGCATTCGTTTCAAGGAGAACCACATTTCTATAAAAAATTTAAAACAATATGCTTATACGATCAGCGAAACAATCTTATTTTCGCTACATAAATGTCATCATGATTAAAGCCTAAGGACTGAGAGCCATTTAAACGTTTGGCCAAATCTGAAACTATCATCGGCGCAAGGTTATAGTCTCTTCTTCAAGAGCCGGTTGAACCGGGTGATGCTCCCGGAAAAGGAAGGTATATCTCTTGTAGTGTAAGGTCATGCTGTGACCTTGACCTTCAAGGTAGCGACCCAAATGTTGCACGTGACACGTCGTATCAATATGATAATCATTTATGTGAAAAAGTTGTAAAGTCCGACTTCAAATAACGAAGTTACGGGCCGGACACAATTTTGCTGCAAGGTCATACGGTGACCTTGACCTTCAAGGTAGCGACCAAAATGTTCCGCGCGACACGTCGTATCAATATGGTAATCATTTCTGTAAAATAGTTGTAAAATCCGACTTCAAATAACGATGTTACGGACCGGACGCGATTTTGCTGCAAGGTCATGCTGTGACCTTGACAGTCAAGGTACCGACCAAAATTTTGCGCGCGACACGTCGTCTCAATATGTGTGATCATTTCTGTGAAATAGTTGTAAAATCCGACTTCAAATAACGAATTTTTGGACCAGACACGATTTTGCTGCAAGGTCATGCTGTGACCTTGACCTTCAAGTAGCGACCCAAATGTTGCGCGTGACACGTCGTCTCAATATGGTGATCATTTTTGTGAAATAGTTGTAAAATCCGACTTTAAATAACGAAGTTATGGGCTTGACACGATTTTGCTGCAAGGTCATGCTGTGACATTTACCTTCAAGGTAGCGACCCAAATGTTATTTGCGCAAGTCGTCTCAATATGGTGATCATTTCTGTGAAAAAGTTGTAAAATCCGACTTCAAATAACGATGTTATGGGCCGGACACGATTTTGCTGTGACCTTGACCTTCAAGGTAGCGACCAAAATGTTGCGCGAGACACGTCGTCTCAACACGATGATTATTTCTATGAAATAGTTGTAAAATCTGACTTCAAATAACGAAGTTATGGGCGAGGCAAGATTTTGCTGCAAGGTCATGCTGTGAACTTGAACTTTAAGGTAGCGACCCAAATGTTGCGCGCGACATGTCGTCTCAATATGATGATCATTTCTGTGAAATAGTTGTAAAATCCGACTTCAAATAACGAAGTTATGGGCCGGACACGATTTTGCTGCAAGATCATGCTATGACCTTGACCTTCAAGGTAGCGACCCAAATGTTGCGTGCGTCACGTCGTATCAATATGGTGATCATATATGTGAAATTCGACTTCAAATAACGAAGTTATGGGTCGGACGCGAATTCGGGACGTACGTAAATACGTACGGACGGACGGACTGATTGACGGACTGACGGACAACCCGGCGACTATATTCTTCCCCTAAATTTCGCGGCGAGCATAAAAATCCAAATCTTACAAACAATTTGCGGGGCGTCCAATATAGCCGCCGATTTCATGCCAAATGATAGAAAATAGATTTGACAATATTATGCCGATTTTGATAAATACCTAGCAAGTTATGATGATACGTGTTAAGTTTGACTACAGGACTTTTCAGTCCCCTTCAGCAAAGCGGGTAGGGGATTATTAGAAATGGCCTCTGTCCACCCGTCCGTCCGTAACACTTTCGTATCCGCTTCTTGACTTTTAAACCGCTGAATTGTTTAAATAACTTGGCACAAAAGATCACCATTATAGGACAATGTGCAGAGCATAATAATTCGTGCACTCCCAAAGGCAAGGTCACACTTTAAGGTCAAGTGTTAAAAAGTCTACATTTCGTGTCCGTTCCACACCCTTTAAACCGCTGAAGTTTTTGAAAAATAACTTGGCACAAGTGATCACCATTATGAGACAATGTGCAGAGCGCTACTTTGTTTCAAGTGTTTCTTAAACTTACATTTCTTTCATTGCATATTATTTTTTTTAAAGTAAATGCACTGAGAACAATAAGTTAGTGTTTTACTTACTTTACATGTTTGTGGCCGAGCATACGACATACCACGGCGGCATCTGATACTTTAAAGCTTTTACTGCAGACAGGATACCATGTTTGATTTATTTTGATTTCTACTCTTCCATGTTGAAATTGCGAACCATTATAAAGGCGAATTGGGGTTTCTAGATATATCAAAATAAATATTGCTCTTACTTAATTAACAAAATTACAATTTACAATATTAGTGTTTAACAAATGCAATAGGTGTAATTGAGAACATCTTTTAATACTTCATTTGCAAAATCAATCGAATTATATATCCTTTGTTACATTATATCATTTACTAGAAATATGTTTGTTGATAGAAACATCCTTGGTACAAACATACTGCTAGACGGTCTTCTTAATTCGTTTTAACACAATTTTAACAAAGAGAAAATGTAAATCACAAATTATACTTTACAAAAATCACGGTTAAAATATCACATATTCATGACATTTCTACCAGTTTAAATAGAATTTGAATATTCGATAATATTAAGCTTTGATTTAGCACTTACGACAGTTTATTCCTGTTTCTGGAGTTGAACAACGTTTAGAAAAATCCCATGTACTATTTCGACAATTCATAACATCATGCTCATCACCATTACAGTGAAGTTTTCGGATGACACTATATGCACATTTGCTGTTGTATTTAATTCCAAAATTGTTCCAAGTTTGAACTTCAGGGTTTCTGTGAAAGAAATAAAAAAATTATATAAAAAACGCATAATTCCCTTAATATATCACTGTCATAATAACTTGGTACAGTATAAAGTCACTTCTTTTGATCCAGCAAACGATCTGAATTAATGAAACAAAGTCTCGTTTTCAAAAAATAAAATCTTATAATATTTCCCTACCATAATGCAAACATGTCACAAATTAATTACAAATCATTATTTTAGGGAAATTATTCTGTTATGACAATCAATAATTGCGGTTTTTGATAATTCTGATAACCTTGTATAATTGTATCCCAATTCTCTGCAAATCATAGCTGCCGTCTTGTCGTTTGCTATATTTGGAGTTATTTTATGCGTGCCTTGCAGATTAACAGATACATATCCCATATACTTTGTTCTTCCGTCCGTTAATTTCACGTCGGTATCTTGAAGAGAATATAAAATCATTTCATAATATTACAGATTACAATTTCAATTATATAATATAGGATGCAATCAAATTGATAAAGGACATCTTATTTTAAATATTTCTTTTCATAATTTGATAATAAATGGATTTTTTTAAATTGTTAAAACTTAAATATGTTTAGAAAATAGCCAACCACATGAAATCGCAAGACTTTCCTTCGTTTCACAAGTATTGTTAGATATCTGACAAAGTCCTATATCTATCTCTTCACCATGGCATTTCACACTAAGCTGACCATGATAATCTCCAGTCTCGTTGTACACCGTTACCGTTCTAAATTGAAAGAAAACATAGTTTACATATAACAGAATAAAACGTCAGTGTTAGTGCAAATCTGTATATGTCATACAATAGTACGAAAGGCCGGTATGAATTCACAACTTTTACTTCCTGAATTCCCGTTTTCAGCATATGGAATTCACGAATTCACGATTTTAGCTTCATGAATTCCCAACTTCAACTTCATGAATTCACGATTTCAACTTTATATATTTACGATTTCAACTTCACGAATTCAAGTTCGTGAATTCACGATTTCAACTTTACGAATTCACGATTTCAACTTTTCAACTTCATGAATTCACGATTTCAACTTCATGAATTCAAGTTCGTGAACTGACGATTTCAACTTCACGAATTCAGAATTTCAGCTTCACGAATTCACGATTTCAACTTCATGAAAGTGAAATCGTGAGTTCAAGAAGTTGAAATCGTGAATTCATGAAGTTGAAATCGTGAATTCATGAAGTGGAAATCGTGAATTCAAGAAGTTGAAATCGTGAATTCGTGAAGTTGAAATCGTGAATTCATGAAGCTGAAATCGTGAATTCATACAGTTGAAATCGTAAATTCGTGAAGTTGAACTCGTGAATTCGTGAAGTTTAAATCGGAAATTCATGAGTATGAAATCGGGAATTCATGGAGGTGTAATGTCCCCACCGGTCGCTCGTACAATAGGGACATTTTATTCTGCTTCAAGATTTCATCAGTTCAACTTCACTAATTCTGAATTCCAACTTCAAGAATTCGCATGTTAAACATTTTGAATTCATGATTTTAAATTCATAAATTCAATTCACGATTTCAACTTCAAGAATTCACGATTTAAACTTTTCGAATTCTTAACTTTAACTTTAATTATGAATTCAATTTTACGAACTTAAAGGACAAAACTTGATGAACTCTCTATCTTTACTTCTCGAAATCAATAAGACAAAAATTAAAATAGTTAAAATGTATAATCGTTAAATAAAAAAAAAATCATAAATTAAATATCAAATCGTGAAAACGACATTTCGTGAAGTTAAAATTGCAAACACACGTAGCTATACACATGAATATGTAAAGTTGAAATCGTGAATTTATGAAGATAAAATGTTATCAATGGTCTTTTGTTTTTTTACTATGTAGTGTGTAAATAGTTCGTAAATAGTAAATGTTTTCAACTATGTTTGAAATTGCATAGAAAATTGCATGTTCATTGCATAGAGTAAAAACATTAGTTCAAATAATTACTTTTATTTCACACCATATAAATTAAGCCTCGTTTTCATTTTGCCAGTCCAAAATTACAAAATTATAAAGTCTTTCTTGAACCAAGTCTAGCTTTGATTTTAAATGCCAAGTCCGCAAAATCTAAATTAAATCACAATTGCGATCCTTGTAAACTCGTTTTCATTTTCAAAAACATAGTCCAAAAACATATCGAATCCATATTGTGTTCGGAATGAATGTAAAATCCATATTGTGTTCGGAATAAATGAATTATGTCATGATATGTAAAATACTTGGTAGTGTGAATAAAAATGTTAAAAATGCATTGAGAGTACAATACAGATTCTATTGGACTCGTATATATACAGCTTGCACCATGTCCAATTAAGGCTGGACAGTTGCGTACTCGTGGAACAGAAATGAGTTTTGTACTAAATAAGGTAATAAAATCTCATATAATCATGTGCATTTCGAAACTTTTAAAACATTAATTGTTCTCATTTACACTGTACCTTTATTTTACATGTAATACAATGTTCATGTTAATGTCTGTATGTCTAAAAGAAATAAAGGTTATAAACTGCTGCATTTTCATCATAAATGAGGACACGCACCAGTCTTTCAGATAATAAATGAAAATACATTTTAACATATAATTTGGTAATAGTATATGTGTACATTGACAAACGAACTATCATTACATCTACGCCATGATTTCTGTCATGAATCTAAGTGTGTAACAGAAGAAATTGGTAAAAAGTATTAAAGCAATTATTTACCCTGTACTAAGACCCTTTGTTCTGCAGACAACTCGCGCATTGGCATTGTCTTGAAAGTCGTTTCCAGTGTAACATATATTGTTCCAGCCATCAGGACGGAGAACTTTTACACGACCCGAAATAAAACTTTCACCTCTTGTCAATTCTACTGGTGTATCTATTTAAAACATAAACCTTTGCATTATCATTCAATACGAATTTACAATTACATTTGATTTTTTTTAATTCAAACATTAAAAATGTTTTACCATAAGTTTTATTTTGAAACGTTTCGATAAAAAATGCAGCAAATGAATTACAGAAATACATACTGCAAGAGATTTCTACAGCTTTGTTGTTTGAGCAATTTGTTTGGCCCCAAGGCCGAGAATTACATTCCTGTATATCTATTTCTTCTCCCGTGCACTGAAGATTTTCTACTATTATTGATGGTGGTGATTGTGAAGTTATGAAAGTATAATTGTTCGATAAGAACTTCCTGAAATTATACGAAAACATTAAATGTACTTTAAAACAGCAAAAAACACGCAATAAGATTTAGTTTTGTTAAAGGAGCATAATTATATGTTTATTTGAATCCAATAAGCGAGAACAATTTGTGTATTCACATAACTGTTTAATATGCCTAAATATCATTAACTTACGTTGTAAAGTTGAATCCTAGCATTAAACAAATAACTTTGATGTTTTCATTCGAAAAATGTTCGCTGCAAATAGAGCCTGTATGTCCTTGATGTGTAATTATCACTCTGCCACTATATTGTGTTAGACCGCCAACAAGATTAACGGTTGTTACTGGAATAAAAAAGATGTAATATTTTTAAATCATTTTGTCCTTTCAAGAGAATTGTTTTTTTTTTTTGGCTATTATTCTTCAAATACATATTATATCACTCATTCTCACTTAAGTACGACATTCCATGTCTTCAATGTTCCATGAAAATTTGTGGAGATATATACGCCCAAACATTCTTAAAAAATGTTTTAACAACTGCATCAAAGATTTAATTTGAGTGCAAGTTTACTAGCCTATTGGTTTGATTTTGCTAGTGACAATCGCTTTTGCAAGATGGGGTACGAAAAACAGCATGTCTTCAACTAAATCGAGGTATGTTTCATTGCACGTATCTTCGTACAGAAACTCGTGGTTAATAGTAAACACAGATCATTTTCGTTATTCTATTGCAGATTTTGACACATAAAACTGTTTTTGATATTACGAAAATTAATTTTCTCAAAATCAAATTTGAATAGCTTGTCTTCAAAGTCGAAATCATTTACTTAATTGCAAAACACTGTTAATCAAACATGGTAACGCTTTAATGGTTATTTAAATAGCACTATTAAGTCTACGGTAATATAGTTAACATAATATATGAAGATTAAGAGTATCTGTGCAACCATTTTGTCAAGGATTTTACGTTAATTTGGATTTTACAAGCGTAGTTTTTACAAAATCATTTACGAGGCTCATCAATACCATGCGTTTTACAATATATTTTCAATAATTTCAATGTTATAATACTTCAAATATCTAGAGTGGATACTTGTCTTGCTTTTATTCTGTCATTCATGTAAACCATTCAACAATTTCTCATAAAATTTCCTTGTCAAACAGAAATTTTCAACATTACGAGCCTATCATTTACGGGACTCACCCTTTTTCACATTTAATTTATCTTGTGATTTATTCTGCTAGATTTGTTGAATTATTTCAACTTGTAAATGGACGTTGGCATTGTTGGAATGGTATTCTTCCACGAAAACAAAGCATAATCCATGTTTTTAAACATACGCATCTGAAATGTGTTTTTCACATGCAGATAGCTTCTAAAAATCATAATTTTGATATTGTAATTGGTATTCACAGCGTTTTGACTATTATAGAATTCAATGGATTATAAAAGAATACATTTAAACTTATACTTCAATCACAAAAATGAATTTAACATGAAAACAGGCGTGTCCCGTATCTGGCTGAACTGTCCCGTAAATGGTAGAAATAATTTTGGAATATTTATTCGAGAAATAGGAAATTTTAAGTCCACAATTTTTTCAGTTCTTGAAACAAATATAAAGAAATAGTCTGATCATATATTTGTCAGACATTTGACTATTAACACAATGCAAAATTACCTGGAGTTATTAACGCGTCAATATCGTCAGTGCACAGAACGTGTAAGACATCCACCTGTAACATGCAGACGCGGTATTCTAGCTCAATACCGCTTGGTTTGCTTTTTAGCATACACCCGCAGATAAATAGCGAATACATAGAGGATATTGAATGAGTGTAGGTTTAATACTTTATTTATTGAACGAGTTGAATAAAATCATATTATGCGAGCCTCTGGCGAGCATAATATTGTTTTATTCAACGAGTTCAATAAATTTAGTATTGAATCTACACGAATATAATATTCTATTTATCACATATATAAAATAAGAACGGTAAACTGTTAAAAAGAGTCATTTTTCTTTGACGCGCCTGTAGTGTAACGCTAACATTAGCGCGCTTTAACGCTATGTTTATAGCGCAAATGACGTGACGTCAAAGTGTTATTACACTAGTGTAATATCGTCTAGTTTAATATCGTTTTTATATAATGGCTTTATTACACTCCTGTGCCGCGGTTTGTGTGATAATTTACAATTGCGATTGACGATGAGATAGTACTTTTTTGCATTTTGCATCTATGGTGAATCATGTTATTTTGTAATTTCCTTTTCATTAAACATGAGGAAATGATAAAGTTGAAATTGTGATGTTCAAAACATGAATTAATTATAATAAAATCGTGAATCTGTGAAGTTGAAATCGTGAAAGTTACACTAATTGTGAAATCACGAAGATGAAATCGGGATTGTCCACACAGCATTTAAATTTTACGTTTATATTTGTCCTATTGAAAATAGGCTATACATAATATAATACATGTGCTTGCATATGTAAAAAGAACAACAATGATATCTCATTCATTCATTCATTCATTCATTCATTCATTCATTCATTCATTCATTCATTCATTCATTCATTCATTCATTCATTCATTCATTCATTCATTCATTCATTCATTCATTCATTCATTCATTCATTCATTCAATCAATCAATCAATCAATCAATCAACTAAACATTCATTCATTTATTCATACATTCATTCATTCATTGCTCCTTTATTTATTTATTTATTTATTTATTTATTTATTTATTAATCAGTCTGGTCTATAAACCTTAGGGGGGCTTTTGTTTGATGGACTTTGGGCGGTCTTTTGTCCTACCTGTTTTTTAATGGGGGGGGGGAGGCTGTTGTCCTATGTGTAAATTTAATGGCGGGGGGGGGGGTTGTTTTACCCGCTTATTGTTGTAACAAAAATTTGTGTCATTTATAAATATTTCTTAGCGCTTCTAATACGTCTTTCATTATTGTCATAATTATTATTATTATTATTATTATTATTATCATAAGTATTATTATTGTTATTATTATTTATTATTATTATTATTATTATTATTATTATTATTATTATTATTATTATTATCATCATCATCATCATCATCATCATCATCATCATCATAATAAGAATTATTATTGTTATTATTATTTATTATTAATATTATTATTATTATTATTATTATTACAAAATAATTATAATTATAATAATAATTATAATTATAATTATAATTATGATAATAATTATTATCAAACAAAATAAATAACCGATTGAGCATTAGAATCAAAGTTTTGCCTATGAAAACTTAAATTTCAATGGTTATGTTATACATGTATGCAAAGTTATCGTTTATGGATACATGTTATTTCCAATTTAATATTGCATTATTTTGGATAGAATAAAGGTCTTAGTATGCTGGTTTCTTCCCTAAATATAAATTCGTTGCACTATTAATGCTAAATGCTTTATTACACAAACGGTATCTAGGCATATCACGCGTTTTCAAAACAGCCAATGAGTTTAAAGCGTTGGTTTTGTATCACGTGAATCCTATCAACCAATCAGAAATAGCGCGGGCGAAATGAAAAAAGAAAAAACGGGATTGGAAATGGATAGTTAATAAAATTCAGAATATTGCAAAACAAGGTAGGTTAAAAGTTATTTTTTATCGTTGCAATATCAATATGCGATCAATAGAATAGTTGCATTTTGTGAACAACAGCTTATTTCAGGGTTAAACTGATTTGTTTTTAGAAAACTTTAACACTGTTTAATCTGTTTCGCTATCCAATATGGCCGCCGGATTAGATAATTAAAGCAGGGATATATCCCTAAACTTAGACTGGGAGGATACGAGTTTGATTTTGATTTCTAAACTGTATCTTGTTTAATTAATAATTTGTATGAAAAATGCAAAAACAAAAAAATGAAAAGGGCATTTGATAAATGCGTTAATCATAACTTCCCTTCAAGGTAAAAAAGATACCGAGTTAAAAATTACGACATTTAAACATCGAAGATGTCAAGGTATTACAGCCCCTTGACATGGTTTTACTTATTTGTCAACGAACGGTAATAGTTTAATTGACTATGCTATATGCTCGGAGGATTTATTTCCCCTGGTTTCAAATTTTATAGTACATGATTTATATACTTTTTCACCACATTGTCCTATCCAAGTTGATTTAAATGTAAATAGTTATGAACAATGTAATGTTACAAATAATTCTACATTATGTGAAAAAATTGTATGGGATAATGAAAAAGTTGATTATTACCGAGACGTTATTTCTGCTGAGCTGTCTAATATAAATGACATTGTTAGTTGTATTGTTTCAAAAGAAACTAATGTTAGCGCTGGAATAAATGAAATATCTAATATTTTGTATGATAAAACTAAAAGTGTTTTTGGTAAAACTACGTGTAATAAAAATAATACATGTGTTAGAACGTATAAGAGCCCATGGTTTAATAAAGAATGTGAGACCGCTAGGCGAGAATTTAGGACTGTTAATAAATCTCTTAAATAAGAATAAATCTGTAGTAAATTTTGAATTGTTAAAAAACTAAACGACGAGTATATAAAAAAGCTAAAAGAAAAGCACAATCTGAGTATAATGGGAAACAGAGGAAAAATCTACAAAATTTAGCCAAGCACCAGCCTCAAAAGTTTTTGGCAAGAAATACGAAAAATTAAAAACATAAAATCTAAAGCTGGAGATATTTCTGAAGAACATTTTTTCAATCATTTTAAAACATTATTTGCGGAAAATAGTGCTTTCATTAATAATGAGGTTGAGGATGAATTGAATCAGAAAAGTTTAGATGAAAATGTTATTGAACAACTTGATAAAGAATTTAGTATTGTTGAGATAAATTCAGCTATTTCTTCTTTTGAAAAGAGGTAAAAATGGGGGTGTAGAATATGTTGATTAGTGAAATATTTATAGAATGTAGTGATCTTTTACTTCCTTCTCTTTATAAATTGTTTAATTTTATGTTTCTTAATAGTGTATATCCTGAGATATAGACAAAAGGTATGATAGTTCCAATCCCCAAAAAAGGCAATGCTGATGATGTAAACAACTATAGAGGTATTACCCTTACCAGTGTTTTTTCTAAAATATTTTCTTCAATGTTAGATACACGTTTGCGCAAGTGGGCCGAAACTAACAATTTGTTATCGGAGTACCAGTATGGGTTTCGTAACGGCAAAAGCACCATAGATTGTATTTTTGTTTTAAATTCTATAATTAATAAAGTTATTAATAGTGAGAAAAAGAAATTATATTGTGCCTTTATTGACTTTCGTAAAGCATTTGATGTTGTATATAGGAATGGT